AATGAGAGAAAGATTATTGGAATCGAATATAAATCAATTTAGAATATTCAGACCAAAGAACAAAGAGCAAAAGGAATGGAGTGGAAATATAAGAGAGGAATCATGGATGGCTGCAGTGGCTCACACTTATGATCCCAGTACTTGAAAGCTGAGGCAGGAGGATCCCCCTGAGCGCAAAGCCTGCCTGAGCTACACAGTGAATTCCACATCAGCCTGGGCTTCAGAAAAAAGTTAGGTAATTCTTTTCTTACCAAAAATATCTTTCAAAAATAAAAACAAAATTGTGAAAGTTTGGCAAACAAGTACTGAATCTGTCACTATAATCTGTCATTTGTACTGGAAGGAAAATATTACATGGAATTATAAACATACTCTACCAAATACCATACTACGCTAAGAAAAATTCTAGTTAGTTCCAGAAGGAGAAAGAGAAGGATCCAAGACAGATGTATGGAAATACTAAAACAAAACAAAGAGCAACTTCAAAAAGTTATAAAGAACAATAAAAAATAACCCAGCTAGCTGGGCATGGTGGCACACGCCTTTAATCCCAGCACTTGGGAGGCAGAGGCAGGCGGATCTCTGTGAGTTCAAGGCCAGCCTGGTCCACATAGTGAGTTCCAGGACAGCTGGGGCTACAGGGAGACCCTGTCTCAAAAAGACCAAAAAAAAGAAAAAAAAAGTAACCCAGCTAATTGTAAATGAATACCGACTATAACAACGATATGTTTTGTGGTATCAAATATAGCTAGAAACTTTCCCACTAGTGAAACAGCAAGGATGTTCCAGATGTTCCCTCCCACATTACTCTTCAACTTCAAACTGGAAGTCAAAGCAATAAGACAAGAAAAAGAAATGGAGATCAGGGAGAAATGAAACTCTTTGTTTACAGATAGCTTGAATGCTAATGTAGAAAACCCAAAATAATCAGAGAAACTCCTGGACCTAATGTCACTGTGGCAGGGCTGTAAGATATAAGCTATAGGGGCTGGAGAGATGGCTCGGTGGTTAAGAACACTTGCTGTTCTTCCAGAGCACCCAGGTTCAATTCCCAGCACCCACGTGGCAGCTAATAACCATCCATGACTCCAGTTCCAAGGGATCCAACACCCTCTTCTGACCTCTGCAGGGACTGCATGTCATGGGTGCACTTACATACATGCAGGCAAAACACTCGTACACATAAAATAAAAATAATATTTTTAAAAGATATAAGCCATAAACCAGGAGAAAATATTTGCAATAAATACACTGAATAAAGGCTTTCTGTCCAAAATATACAGAGAACTATTAAAATTCAACACAAAGCCACCTATTTTAAAATGGGCCACAATTCTAACACATATTCCACCAGAGAAGACATCACATGCCAATGGGAAAACTGAAACAAAAATAAGATGCTACCTCACACCTGTCAGAATGGCCAAGACCCAGAACACTGACGTCAGTGCTGGCAAGGGTGTGGAATACGAACTCTCACCCCCAGCTAATAGGAATGCAAAAGGGTTTGGGCCATCTCAAAGACAGTTTGACAGTTTCTTATAAAACTATTCATACTCTTATCACAAAAGTCCAACAACTGGGGCTGGAGAGGTGGCTCAGCAGTTAAGAGCATGGGCTACTCTTGCAGAGGACCCAGGTTCGATTCCCAGCACCCACATGGCAGCTAACAACTAACCATAACTCCAGATCCAGGGGGATCTGACATCATCTTCTGACCTCCACAGGCATTTCATGACACACGGGTACACTTACATACATGCAGGTAATACACTCAAACACATAAAAGAAAATTTTTTTTTAAATTTAGGAAAAAAAGCCAACAGTGCTTCTCCCATGCTTATCATGATACATACGGTAAGAGCTGTGGGCAGATGCTTATAATAGCTTTATTCATAACTGCCAAAACTTGGTTATGGCATGCGGGGATCTCGGGGCGCCAGCTGCTGGGCATGGCGCCGGTCTCCCACAGGTCGCTGGAGTGCAGCGGGTCCCGCGGGCCGCGTCTGCTGTTCGGGCCCCTGGCTCTCCACCGCGTTGCCATGGGTCTCTGCTACCGGAGCTGGCGGCTCTAGGACCGCTGTCAGCTGCCTGGTCGGGTTCCGTTTCAATTTCCACCATGCACTCTCTCTCTAAGTTAGAGACCTGTTGGCCACCAGAGAGGGGAGGTGCGAGAAACGGCGAAAGCAGGGTCTTCGTGAGTTGATGACGGAAGGAAAGCCCCCCCCCCAACCGGATCACAGGATTTAGTGTTACAGCTTCAGACAAGTGACTCAGCTCAGATCTCAGTGATTCAGCTCCAGCTTTATTGGGGTAAAACTAGGACTATTTATAGTGTGGAGACAGTAGAAGAAGCCTTAGCTGATAGATACTCCTGGAATGCTTCATTTACATAGGGCGGTGGGCTTCTATCAGGCTATCAGACAACGCCTGATTAAAACCTGGTAGCTCCTGTGCCAGAGGGCATGTATCTGTGATGGGCATTTCAAAAGTAAGTCAGGGAGGAGAGCAGAAGGCGCCCCGCTGAGAAGAGGAGTCTCCCCATTCGCGCCGAGACAGCTTGTGGCTATCCGGACATGGGGAGACTGCTACCCCAAACAGCAGGGGTCCCCAACACTTAGTAGCATCTAAGGTGCCCTCTAGTAGGTGAGTGGATAGATGAGCTGTGGTATATTCAGCCAATGAATATGTTCTGCGTTGAAAAGAATCAAACCATGAAAAGACACAGAGAAACTTTATACACATGTTGCTAAGGTGGAAGAAGCCAGTCTGGAAAGAGTTGACCATATGATTCCAATGACAGGATTCCTGGAAAAGGTAAAACATTAGACACAGTAAAATGATCAGTGGTGACTGAGGAATGGGTGTGGGGAGGTGGAAAGGTAAAAAGGTGGCACGCAGAAGACTTTCAGGGCAGTGAGAACACTCTGTATGGCACTACAGTCCCTGACACACACATTTGTCCAAACCCACAGAAAGCATCACATTAGTGAGCCCAATTCTAAGCATGGGCTCCAGGTGATTATGACCCTTCAATGTAGACTATTAGCTTTAAAGTGCCACTCTGCTGGGGTGCTGCTCATTTGGGAAGCCATGAAGATGTGGAGACATGAGGTACATGGGAAATCTGATCATTCTCTCAATATGGCTTGAATCTAAAACTGCTTTAGAAATATCTTACAGGGCTGGAGAGATGGCTCAGCAGTTAAGAGCACTGACTGCTCTTGCAGAGGACCTGGGTTCAATTCCCAGCACCCACATGGCAGCTACAAACCATCCTTAACTCCAGTCCCAGGGGATCCAACAGCCTCTTCTGACCTCTGTGGGCACTGCACGACACAGGTGCACTTACCTACACGCAGGCAATACATGCATACACATAAAAATAAAATTTTTTAAAGTTTAAAAAAAAGAAATATCTCTTAGAAGACAGAGAAATCCAGTCTTTCAATATTTTATTTTTATATGTATGAGTGTTTTGCCTGAATGTATGTAAGTGCACCACATGCAAGCAATGTCCAGGTTCAATTCCCAGCACCCACATGGCAGCTAACAACAGTCTGTAACTCCAGTTCCAGGCGATCCAACACCCTCTTCTGACCTCCTCAGGCATTTACACACATGCAGATGATACGTTCATACACATAAAATGAAAAAAATAAAATATTTTTTAAATGCAAACAGGCACCTACTGTACACTGGACAGAAAGAACTTAAAAAAGAAACCATGGTGGGTTATAGAGATCTGTTCTAGCTTGTACCTCCCACAGTGCATTGTTTCTATAGGTTCTCCCAAAAGCCTGCCAGGCAGGTACTCTCCTCCCCACTCATCTAATGAGACACAGAGACCCAGTGGCAGTAAGGACGCTGCACCTGAGTGATAGGCCTTGGTTCTGAGTAACTGTGACTCTAGAACCTTCACTCCCACCTGCTCAGCGGTGTCATGCTCTGTCATCCACGGTACTTGCCTCTGATGGGCACACAGCCTGAAAACCCGTGAGCGAGCTCATGGTGGGTGGCTCACCTCAATCTCATGAGGCAGGTGAGACTTAGATCAAAAGAAGAAACTGAGGCACACACGCAAAGATATGTCCACCACGGGCTGACTGCATGTCCCGTGCCTCACCCACCAGGTGGGTGAAGAAGAGGCAGGAAAAAAAAAGTGCCAAACTCCATGAGCAGAACTGAACATTGAGAAGCCACTGCTCAGTCATTCAGCGAACAGGTTTTTATTCTCCATATACCATCCTTACTGGGGTTCTGTGACTGAATGACAAACACAAGTTTCTCTTGATTGTGTTCATAGTGATATTTCCCGGGATGGGTCAGAAAGGCAGTGATCGCTTGTGAATAATCCACTCAGCAAAGCTGCCCCGGGGTGCAGCTGAGGGGCACCTACCTCCACAGCCATTCCTGGGCTACTCTATGCAGACATCCCTATCCTGGGCACAGAGAAAGCAAAAAGGTAGAGTGCCTCTTACATGGCAAGTCACCTGCACTGCATCACAGCATTTCAGTCCACCAGATCATTCTACGAAGGAGTAAACTGACACTCGGAGATGGTAATGGCCAAGTCACACACACAGCCTGGAGACATCAGGTATGGAACAAGATTCTAGGTCTCCTGCTGCCTAGGGAATTTTCTCTCTGAGGATGTATTACCCAGAACGCCTCAACTTGAAGAAAAGAGTACTTTGTGCATAGAAATGAGAATAATAAACAGCAGAATAAGCTGGAGCTCACCAGAATCATCCAACCCACCCGCCACACAGACGGAAAACAGAGGCTGGCCAATAGTGACCTGGGGAAAGCTGCACAGCTAGAAGTGGAAGCTCAAGACCAGACCGCAGATTCATCACGGCTCGGGCCTCACCATCCAACCACATTTGCAGAACAATTTGCTGAAGCTGGTGGAGATGGTAAAGCAATCAAGCCATGGGATTTTTTTTTTCCCCCTACGGAAGTCAAGGTCATGGACAAAAAGAACAAGGATGCAGAAATGGACCATAAGGAGTTTACAATCTAGCTAGGAAAAACAGGTATGTACAGAGGAAAACAGAGTAACATAAAACATCAGTTCAGGTAACAGCTGTATCAAGAAGACAGAGAGGCAGGGGTGACTAAAAGACTTCTTGAAGGAAGGGTAAGGAAAACTGGGCTTTGAAGCATGAACAGGAGTCCAACAAGTAGGAAAAAAAAGTTACATCAGTTCAGGAAAGAGTTCCAACTTATAATGGTGTTTATGGGAGATAAATTCACAAAGGCCAAGTGTTTGGGGAATGGGCCTGTCAAATGGTCTTCAAATGCTTTGGAGAAAAGACTATCTGGAAGTCTCTGAGCTCTTCAAACAAATGCAGGAGTGTCTAATCACACTTCATTCCAGAACAAGAAAATATCACAACTGCTCTGCAGGACGGAACCACAATCATAAGCGAGTGTGTTGCTGAACAAAACCAGTCCCTGAGTCCAACAGGATATTCTTTTCCAAACTCCTCTGTGGACAGTTACCTGCCTTTTGTCAGCTCCTGTCTTCCACCCCAGGTGCTAGCAGACAACAAATTCAGATGCTGTTGCTGTTCATAAAGTAAGAGGGGAGAGCAGTCTTCTGAGAATTCCTTCTTCATGCTGGAGAAAGGCTGATGATATCAGTAGTCCAAGGCAATGTGGAAACAGCAGCATCTTCTCTGAGACTCAGTTTCCCCATCTGACAACAAAGGTCTAGGGTAGGACCATCACCTGAATCTGAGCTTTGACAGACTTGCCCTTTGGGGTCATCTGCAGGTCTCTGAGTCTTGGCAGGTAACAACAGAAGGGCTCTTCCACCCAAGCTGCGGGCCCAAACAGCCCAAGAAGAGCTAGGCTGGCCCAGCTCTGCCATCACCAATTCAGCACGGTCCGGACAGGCTATGATGTCAACAAGGCAGTTCCGTGCAGGGCTCTGGAATGTGCTCAGTGTCCCTGTGGCTAGCATGACTGACACTCTCCAAGGTGTCCTCAAATGCTGATTTCCTTGTCAGAGCTCACTGCTGGCCATTCCAAGTTCCCAACGCCTCCCTGACTTCTCAGTCTTGGAAGATGCATGTCTCTGTCCCTAGGTCACCTGGCCAGGAATGGGCAGCACCCTGTGCCCAGGATGTGTGCTTCTATGAGCTGGCATGGGCATGGAATCCTCGGAGAGTCTGTGTGTCGTGTCCCCACTGGCTGGGGGAGCTCAGAGGTCACGAGGAGCCGGGTGTAGTAGCCAGCAAACACGGCCAGCAGCTGCCGGGCCATTTCCTGCAAGAGGCAGGAAAGCAGGGTGAGGACCACGAGAGACATGTGGAGCAGCAGGGCTTAGGCACAGGAGGAACCCAAGCTAGCCTCCTGCCCTAGGCTTGTGAAGGAAACTCACTGGGAAGAACCAGCCAGATCAGCACCTGGGGTTCTTGAAAGATGAAGTGCAGGCTAGAACCCCACTCTGCCATTCACTGGCCAGAGGCTGCTGTGGCCTCGGCTGCCTCATCTCCAAGGGAGCCTTGCTAATAACAGGATTCACAGGACTGGGAGTTCTGCTCAGAGGGAGGCTAAAGCTCTGGATTCCATCCTCAGCACCAAGAAAGATAATATACCCTCAAAAGGTCTATAGCCTCAGAGCATTGAAGAAGTTACCATGCCCTCCTTATGGACATACTCTTTCTACTTTCTAAAAATCTGCGAGTCTAAGGAACATGACGTCAGACTGACTCACACAAAGAAAATTACTACATGAAGGGCTGGATGGGGGACTATTCCCATGATAGTACACCCTCAGTTCACATAAGGTGCCTGGCAGAGACCTTATTTTGAGATAGGATCTCATTAAGTAGTCTGGTTGGCCTAGAACTCACTATATAGACCAGGCTGGCCTCAAACTCTCAGAGTTCTGCCTGTGTCTGCCTCCCAAGTACTGGATTAAAGACACGCAGCACCCACCCAGCTGGTAAATTTCTTTGCATAAGTATTCCTAATGTACTAAAGGAGTTTGCTTATGAAAAGTAGATTTACTATAAAAGGACAAACACTACATAGGAAGACAGACAGTGGTCCTGGGGGAGGAGAAAGAGAAGTTAGTGTTGGATTGGGATAGGGCTTCAGTAGAGGACACTGACAGTGTTCTAGAGGTGGATGGTGATGAAGGTCACACAGTGTGAACATATTCCATGCCACTGAACTGCACAGCCTAAAAATGGGTAAGGTACAAATTTCTTATTATGTATTATTTTACCAAAATGAAAAAAAAAAGAAAGTAAAGGAAAAAACATAACTGGATGTCATGCATTCTTTTAACATACTTGGTCTCTAACATTTTACTTGTTGGTCTAGCAATTGGGGTTCCAGGGAAGAGATTTAACTTCCTCACAAAACTTATGCCTACCCTAAATGTTGTAAGTGTGAGTTACAGTGAGACACCTTGGGAGGGGGGGAGATGGGGGGCCTAGTAATTAGGAAGAGGAATTTTAATTAAGGAGGCCACAAGGGAATTCCAGCTCATTCACTCTGTGGCTCACTGGGCAGGTCCCTGCCTGATAAAGCCATGTCTTCATGGTAAATCTGTGGTAAGGAAGGTGACGTTGCAGAAGCAAATATGGAGAATGCACTTAGCCCAGCACTGTGAATATCATCAGTATCATCCACATCATTATTAAGAAGCAGACACCTGGCTCACAGCTGTTATCTCAGTACTTGGGAGGCAGAGGCAGGTGGACTGCCGTGAGTACAAGGCCAGCCTAGACTACAGAGTGAGTTCAAGGTCAGCTTGGGCTACAGAGTGAGACCCTGTCTCAAAACAAAACAAAAAAAAATTACATAGGGCTGAAGTGATTGCTCTGCTCTTCCAGAGGACCTGGGTTTGGTTCCCAGCACCAACATTGGTGCTAACAATCATCTTTAACTCCAGTTCCAAGAGAGCCAACGCCCTCTTCTGGTCTCTGTAGCCACTGCACACATGTGGTGCACTTATATATACTCAGGCAAAATACTCATACATATAAAACAAAAATAAACAAATCAGGGACTGGAGTGATGGCCCAGCGGTTAAGATCATTGACTGCTCTTTCAGAGGACCCAGGTTCAGCTCCCAGAACCCACATGGTAGCTCACAACCATCTGAAACTCCAGTTCCAAGGGACCTGACACTTCCTCTGGCCTCCACAGGCATTGTACGCATAGATGCACTTAAATACACGCAGGCAACACATATACATAAAATAAAAATAATTAATTTAATTAATTAAATGTTTTAAAGTCCTAACATGATTCTGGACAAAAAGCAGTTACCTCTATCTGGCTCATAGGACTTATTTTTGTTTGTAGTTGTCTTTTATGCTAGAAAATATTGAAAACTTCAAATAACGTCCCTTCCCTAACTCAAATGGGTCTCACCAATTGAGCCTAAGATCAGTAACACAAGAAGCAAGCTCTACAGTAAGGGAAGTGGCGTGCTGAGACTCAGGGTGGCTTCTGCCCCAGGCTCTGCCACCTGCTCCCTTGTTCTGTGAGCTGGTAAAGATCTACAGACCTCTCTTACCCATTGAATGGAAAGTCATCCAGACCTCAGAGATGTGCTAAAGAATTCTTTGCAGGATAAAAATCTGTAAAAATATGAGAAGTTATTCTAACTCTCTCTCCATCTGTCACAGGCTCTGTGCTCCAAGGGACACAGGATGGTCTAGCTGCCCACACCAGAACTTGGGTAAAGGTTGTATTTTTCCCTAGTTAAACGACCAGCTCAGCTACTTTCAAAACATGCACATGGGGCTGGAGAGATTGCTCAGTGGTTAAGAACACTGACTATTCTTGCAGAAGACCCAGGTTCGAATCCCAGCACCCACATGGCAGTTAACAACTGTCCATAACTCCAGTTCCAGGGGATCCGACAGCCTCTTCTGTCCTCCACGGCCATTGCACGACACAGGTGCACTTACCTACATGCAGGCAATACAGGCATACACATAAAATAATAAAATTTTTAAAAATATATGCACACACACACATGCTTGATATTCATGATAGGAAATTGTACTTCTATGGGTTTGAATGAATTTGAAGGAATAATTTGAAATGCCCATATTTGATGGGCTATTGCACATCAACCCAGACATGCAGGCCGCAGTGAGCTCATGACCTTATCAGTCTTTTCTGCTCTTAAATAAGAATCAGAAGGATGCAAATGAAGAGACTGATACAGCTGTCATTTTCTCTCTCAAATACTCCTACTGGGCGCCCCCTTCCCACCAGTGCGGAAGGGGAAGCCTGGGCTGAGCTGCACTCTGACTCTCCAAACCCCTGGACTGAGAAGAAAATGCAAGTAATCTCCCAAAGCTCCAAATGTCACCTGAGGTCACTCCTACTGCCTGCCACCCTATGCGGGTCTGTCCTCATGGTTTCAAGAGGGCAGCACAAGTTGCAAACCATGTCGTCAGACTGCAAGTCTTCCAGCAGAAAGGCAGACCCAAGCAGGTTCCTAGCAGGACCTGACAAGGATCTGGGGCTGATGGAGCCAGAACTGATGGTATTCCAACAATCACAGAAGATCCAAACACTGACTCTAATTTAAGTGGGTGAGTGAATACGTGGATAATGAACGGATGGGGGATGAATAAGATAGATTAAAGAAGGATGGATGTATGAAAAGATGATGATTGAATGAAGGATAGATGAATGATGGAAGGATGGATAGGTGGTGAGAGGACAGAGAGAAGGATGAATGGAATGATGATGAATGGATGGAGAGAGGATGGGATGGATAGAGGATGGATGGACAGATGGATGGATAAACAGAGGATGAATGGATGTCTGAATGGATGAATGAAGGATAGATTATGGAAGGATGGATAGAGGGAGGGTGAGAAGACAAGAAGATGGATGAATGTAATGATGATGGATGGATAGATGGGAGATGGCTAGATGGGTAAATGGACAGAAGGATGGATGGGTGGATGATGGATGGATGGATGATGGATGAATGGAAGATGGATGGATAGGTGAATGGATGGAAGGATGGATGGATAAATGAACATAAAAGAATGATGTTTATGAATAGATTTCTTTTTTCTTTGAGACAGCGTCTTCCTGTGTAGCCTGAGCTGACCTTAAACTTTCAATCCTCCTGCTTCCACCTCCCGAGTACTAAGATTATAAGCATGTGTCAACCCACCCTGAAATATGTAGATTTTTTTTTAAAGATCAAGTCATCCAAATTGATGTAGGATGTAATCTACCAACATGCAACCATCCTTCTAACGCAGCTATCAAGAAGGATTTCCATGATATCTTAAAATGCAACCCAAAATCTCAGTAAGAACAAAACTAGTTTGTATGAACTATGGTTTAAAGCACGGGTATGACACTGGACAAGGTGACAGAGGCCTGCCATCCAGAAGCTTGGAGGTTTACAAGCATGAGACCAACCTAGGCTGCATAGCAAAGCCTGTATCAAAAATAAAAGTGGTGGAGTGAACAAAAAATAGTGAAAAGATGGATTTGACCTACAAGATTTGAATGGTCAGTCTCCAGGAACTCAGAGAAGCTATGACCCCAGGACCCAGAACTTGAGGCACCACATGCACCAAGACCATGCAGGTGCCCACAAGGGAGGACCACGCTGACTGCTGCAGCACCATTACCTCTGGCTCAGCCTCAGGAACAAGCTGGTGGAGCTCGGTCTGCATGAGTGGTCTTTCCTGAGGGCCCGGAGCACTGGGCAGGAGAGGAGCATCCTCCATGTCCTCGGGCCCCTCCACCACAGGGCTCACTCCTGTCTCTATGACAACACATAGTTGGCTCAATCTGCTTTTCAGCAAGGACTGCAAAAGAAACAGGGGGGGAACGGGTGTGTCCTAAGTCTCGCAGCATCTGGCAGGGTGGACCCAGCTAAGAGCTAGACGCTGACCTCGCTGAGCCACACCAGTGAGATCACACAATTTCCCATGAAAGCATGGTCTTTGTCAGCTACTAAAGGACTCTGCCCTCCACGCTCAAATTTGCTCCTCATTACAGCCTGGAATGTGGGTGCCTATCCACATGCTGCAGGTGAGCAAACTGGGCTCGAAATCTATCTGAAGCCACCTGGGAGTTAGTGAACCAGGAGCAGGGTACCAAGGCAATCTGACCTCAGGACCAACTCTAAGGCATCAAGGGCCCAGGAAAGGCTTATCTTAGGGAAGTGCCTGGGGCTTAGGGTCAGGGGTTTGGCCTCCACACCTGGCCATCAGCAGCCAGTCATGACCATGACCAAATGGGGCACAGGTCTCCAAGTGCGTTTCCTCCATAGTAAAACCAGCATTGTCTCCCCGGCCTTCTGAGTCAAGGGCAGAAGGTCATCTGAATGGGTGTTGCTGGAATACATGATATCTTTGGAGCCTCCATAATGTATTATTAATATGATTACTATTATAAAGAAATACATGTTCACAATAGAAAAACATTAAAGATGCGGTCAGCTAAAAAGCTGCAGCTCAGGTTATTCCCTGGGCAAAAGCACCCCCTGAGTCTGGAGGGGATTCATCCTTCAGGCAACTGCTGTCTGGGGAATGCTTTAGTAATGTGATTTAGACAGTCTGGTGTCCTGGTTTAATTTGGTGTTTCCCTTCGGGCACCTTACCTCTTGAGTCCTCTTCATCTCCTGAACATGGTTGGACAAAAACTGCACACAGTTCTCCAGGTCAAAGTAGACAAACCAGAGCTGTGGAGAGAAGCAGGAGGGTCTGACCTTGAACTCCAAAGCCCGAGTCAGCCCTGCAGTTCCTGCTCCTGTTCCTTGTCTGAGGCCCACCCATCTGAGAAACACCTGACATGTCTTAGCAGGAACACAGTAACTGTGTCTCATTTGTACAGCCGGAGGGGAAAAAAATCAGTGGTGCTAAGGGATGAATGCTAGGTAGACACACTACCACTAAGCTACATGCCCAGCCCAGAGAAATGGCTTTGTGAACCAAGTTAGAGCATGTCCAACCCTGTACAAAATAGCTGGGGCTCCATCTCCCACATCTACTGAGCATCCCAGACTCCAAAGCCCTCTGGCCATCACATGTCCATTGGTGGGTAGCACCTTCACCCTAAGCGGTCTAGGTGACTGTCTGTTGAAACTCAAATATGCAAATGAGGGAGGCCCTCACAGAGGATATCTCTACTACCCAGGTCATCAACACAGGTCTTCTCAGACATCCTGTTCTCCCCCACCCCTCCTTTCCCTTCTGCCTCATCCTCAACAACCCCTAGGCCAGGTTACTGTTACCAGGTCAAAACCCTCCATGTTCACTGTGACACGTTGTTAGTGTCACACACATCATAATATAAGTTATACAGAAAAGTAGAATCCTTCATCTTCTACTTCCAACCACTGCCTCCTCCCTCCTCTGGGTGACTGAGCCTGAGACCCTCCTGCAGGCTAGTCTCTCCCACCTTCTGTTCACATGACTTTTTATTTTAAAGCTTTTTACTGTGAAAAATCTCCAAACATACACAGAAGTTGATGAGAACTCTCCATTGTCCTGCTTTGACAACTGTCACTCCATGGCCACCTCAGTTCCCCTCCACCTCACTCCTTGCCTATCACATCGCCCCCCACCCTTGCAGATATCATGCAAGAGGGCCTTACGTGCCACACCATTCCGGGTGTGATGCCTCCACAAAACAAGGATCTGTGTGTCCTCTGTCACAGCTCCAGCTGGAGAACAGTGCCCAGCACTTGGGATGATCACAGGACATGCATAAGACACTTCTCCTAGGTCCCCTGTTCATATTCGCCCAGGTTCCCCTAGGTTCCTCTGGGGCAAAGGGCTGTGACTAGTGATGCATGTGTGTACTGATGAGCCACAGCCTGAGCCAAACCCAGCTCTGCCACAGTTGTACAGGCTTTCCCTAAGTCCTGCTGTCTTCAGTTGTAGAATAAGAATAAAGTTCACCCTGCCTCCAAGGAAAGGGATGAGATCTCACCAAGGTTGCAGATTTGAAGAACTCAACTTCAGTGAGTGTTAATCACTGAGCACCGAGCACTAAGTACTGAGCACTGAGCAGAGGCAATGAGACTCAGGAGATCCAGCCTCAGTTGGGTCCCAACCCACCATGTGACTTCCTACTTATCACTTTAATATCTCTCTACTGCCTTAAGGACACAGAAAACCACTAAGGCCAAACACACGAGTCCTTAGCATCTGGCCTGCCTCTTCCACCTCATTTCTCCTACACTGTAGCCCCAGGCCACCATGAGCTCCTCACTGTCCCCCTAATGGCCACTCTTTTACTGGAGGGACAGCAAGGCCACTATGACTATCATCCTTACAGGCCAATAACCCCACAGGGCCCACTGTGCCCAACCACAGGGCTAAGCACTGAGGAGTCCCCAGAAAGACACTGGGGCAGGGAGGAGGAAAGTACCACCTACAGCCCAGCAGCAGCAGACACCGGACACATAGGGCAGGCTAGGAGAACACGAGACCACCCACAAGAGGGTCACTGGGAGAGGTCAGTCTGAGACACAGTACCTGGATGACGCTCTGGCATCCTTCCACTGTGTCGGTCACTCCCAGCAGCACCCGATATCTCAGGAGGGCTCTGTTAGCAGCTGTCAGCCTTAGGTCTGTGTTAGTATTTGCCTGAAAGACAAGTACCAGGCCCAAAGCTGACCTCCAGATGGCCCTGCACACCACACATGTCCCTCCCCTGAGGCCACATATCAGCCTTTGTCCTCAGGATGCCTCCATTTCCTCCTCTATGGTAAATTCAGTGGCAGACAGCCTGAGCCAAAGCCTGACCCTGCTATTTCCTGGCTGTGGGGTGTGTGTCCTTCTATTGAGTCTTGTTGTCTTCAGTTGTAAAATAAAAATAAACCCCACCTCTGCTTCCAAGAAAGGAGGTAAAGTCTTACTGAGGTTGCAGATAAAGTCCTTAACCCAGAGATGGGGTGCTAGGGATGTTTGTGGGAAGCAAGTCAGTCTGCTCTTTGTATAAGGCACCAGCTCTGTCTCTAACAGAGCAGAGGCAATGAGAAGCAGGAGATCCAGTGTCAGTTGTGTCCCCACCCACCTTTTCTTTTTCTTTTCTCTTTTTTGAGACAGGAACTCAATCTTGAAGACCCTCTAGCCTCAGCCTTCAGTGATCCGGGAGCAAGGCATGTGCCACCAAGCCCTGTGGTAGTGACTTGTACAATATGGACAATACTCTGCACAAATGACTTTTACCTAACCTTGCAACCAGAAAGTTAAACTGAGCTTGTTTATAGTGTAGACAAGCTCACTGAGCCATGTGCTCTTCTTGTGATCTCGGCATTTGACCTTAATCCTTCATGACCCTACCTTGATCTCCACTCAGGATTGTCTATGAATGTGTGTATAGGCTGAATACAAAAAAGTGTTAAAAACAGTGTGTATCTCAGTGCAAACAATGGAAGAAATTTATAACATCTGTTTTAGTTGTGCGTGTGTGTGTGTGTGTGTGTGTGTACACTATTCTAAGTTCGTGGGAGTCACAAAAGACATAATCTTCTAATAAGGATCCAACTTTTAGTTCCCTATTTCACACTGGATACATTGTTTCAATAAAACAAAGGACAGGCCCTTGTCCTTGACTAAAATTTGGAGAGAAATCTGAAGGAACAGGTTCTCAGCAATTCAGGTCTGTTCTTGGCCTCAAAATGCATGCCAAGAGTCAGGATGTCCTTTTTAAGCATCACCAGAATGTGACATTACTAAATGTTCTAAAGTCCTGTGCTAACAGGCCTACACTTAAAATTTATTTATTTGTTTTATGTGTTTGTGTGTTTGGCCTACATGCAATAGCCATAGCCTCTGAACATTTCAGAGAAGAGGGCATCAGGTCCCCTGGAACTTGAGTTGTTAGCCACCATGTGGGTGCTGGGAACTGAACCCAGGTCCTCTGGAAGAACAGTAAGTGCTCTCAACTGCTGAGCAATTTCTCCAGTCCCAGACCTACTTCAAAGTCCTTAGCACAGCAACTAGTCCTCAGAGGAACTACTTCCTTCTGATTCCACCCACACCAGTCAATACCAAACACACAGCTGGCAGGTACTAAGGAGACCAGGAAAGGGCAAGAAAGGAGTAACGGGATCCAGAGCGCTGGTTTAAGGGGGAGACCCCCAGGTGCCTTCAGAGGCAGCTACAGGACCAACCAAAGACAAGGGCCCTAAAAGGAAAACTGGAAATGTTCAGAGGCCCTTTGGGTAGTCAAAGAGATGGGATGGACACACTGGCAGGCAGTAAAAGATGCTGACATGTGCCTACCACTGAAGGGCATGGCCCATGAGAGAATTCTACATGCCAAGAACCTGTCCCTGACCTTCTTGGACCCCCCCAAAACTCCATTGGGCATGGAGGAGCTAGAAAATAGAATTCTCTGGTGTCCCGTCCAAACTCCATTGCACACACAGGTCTTAGACGGGGGTTCACGAGGGTTCAAGGTACACTAGAATGACTACATTTGGTTTTGTCTAGAACTCCGGTTAAGTCTTGCTCATTCTTTCAGAAACCTACTCACTGACAGTTGAGTTCCTGTCTCTGACTCTCACCACCTGTATGACCCCAGGCAGGTTTACTTAGCATCTCTGTCTCCGTGTCCTCATTCCAAGTTGAAGATGGAAACTCCCCTGCCTCAGGGATTACAATAAGGATGAAATGAGCTACTGCATGTGGACCACTTAGGAGTGGACACGCCGTACACAACATTGAGACATGGAACCTGGACTGAAACACTTTATTTTCCACTATGCCACCTCAGCCACACAGGAGCCACACAGGAGCATCTTCAGGGACTACCCGGCCATGTGTCACACTTGGGAGGGGACAGGAGCACAGTCTTCGCCTGCCTGCACCAACTCCTGATCTTAAGAATGGTTAATCATGAACCACAGAGTGCACCACAGAAGGTCTTATGGATGTTGAGTGATGCAGGGAGGGTACTAGGACTGTAAGTGACAATGGTCAGGAGGGAGAGGTCTGCAGGGTCCCGACAGGAAATCTCATGGGATGAGACCCAAAGGAAGACCTGGGGAGCGCCATGGGGCCAAGATTAGTTCCTGAACCTCCCTGAGCTTTTCCTTACCGGTAGTAATAGCAATTAACATTTACTGAGCATTTCTGTTATGTCAAGTGCTATTACAAGTACTTTTCGCATACTTTAAATCTCACAGTTACCCTATGGTAGAGCCAGAGTTATGCCCTTTGCAGGTGAGGAAACTGAGGCCCAGAGAGGTTGCAGAGGTAACAAGCATCAGCAGTATCCTGAGTCCTTACATTGTTTACGGCCTTGGACATCAGGCCCTAAGCAAGGAGCACACAGTGGGTACTCAGAAAACAGAGGTCAGTGTTAGGAAGAAAGGACACACTGACAGGGTTTCCTGAGTGACCAACAGGACTAGAACATGGCGTCTGGGCTCTGTGTATCTGAGGCCCCTGGACACAGCTGTGAGCAGAGGGAAGGTCCTGCTCCTCTCTGTGACCTGTGTCTAGCACCTCACCTGGCACTCTCGGGCTTCATAAGTACGGCTGCATAAAAGCAGAAAGGGTAAAAGGAGGAAGCAGCGCACCCAGCAGGCACCCCCGCACCACGTAGTCGTGCTGCACCACGATGCACCTGCCAGGTTTCCTGTTTCTTTCTTCCTGCTAAGGTTGATGGTTTGCTTTCTTCTCTCCCCAAGAGAAGCATTTCCTGGCAAGAGCGGCCAGCTCAATTTATTTTTATAGAACAAGCACAAGAACTATGAAGGCCTCAACAGAGCCCAAGGGCCACATTATCTTGTCAGGCTTGCCGACAAAGCCCAACAATGATCCTTTCAGAATGATTAAACCATAAAGTCCCTATTTGTTCCAATGAACACAGGCACAAAATGGAACTCACATCCCAAACCCAGGATGCATTTTACATCTAGTCATCCCTCTGAGCCAGGCAGGAGCAGAGCATTTGCTGAGGGCATTGGACCAAACTGTGTCCTCAGCTACAGAGGACAGAGGGACAGGAGCCTCTGGAGGTACCCAAGACAGTATCCTGTGCAAGGACATCCAAATCTCCTTCCCCAAACCTGTGACTAGGCTGTTACAGGGCAGGGTGGAATGAGAACTACTCAGCCAAGCTTATATCAGGGAGATGATGCCAGAATATCTCGGTGGAGCCACAGAACCATGAGGTCCTCACAGTGGAAGAATCAACAGCAAGGTATGGGAAAGGCTTTAAAGACAGGAAGGGGCCATGAGCCAAGGAATGTAAGGTGGTTTCTAGCCACTGGAAGAGACCAGGAAGCAGATATACCCCAGGGGCTTCTCTGAGAACACAGGCCTGCCAATACCTTGATTTCCAGTCCATTGACCCCTGTAATGGACTTCTGACTACAGGACTCTAAGGAAATAAATCTGTACTGTGTTAAGCCATCAAGTTTCTGGTGACTGGCAACAGAAGCCCCAGAGTGCCACATGCTGGGTGCTGACTAAGGGTGCCAAACACTGGGTGCTGACTAAGAGTGTGACTTAGAATCTGAGCACCCAGGCCTTGAGCGCCATCCTAGTCACTTAGCAGCAGTGAGCCTTGTGCTACTCCTGGAATCTTTCTGAGACTCAGTGTTGTGAAAGTGAATGTAAAGGCCTCGACCCAGAGTCACTGGGCATGAAAAGCCTTTACCAGCTAACATACAGACTGTAAAGAGCCCGATACATGGCACAGGAAGTCACTGAAGAGACTAACCCTGGGGGGCAGCAACCTCCTCTCTGAAGGTGACTGGGGATCAGATGCTCGACTCTGAACTGAAGCTCCACTTTCAGGGATGCAGGACCCAAGCTATCTGAGCCCATTCTGCCTTTCAGGTCACTGCTGGGTTCAGTGGAGTGCCCACCCACCCCAGAAGGGAACAATGGCATCACCTCCCCAGCCTTTACCCTCCAGCCCTGGCCCTGCAGTGAGGAGGGCCCTGTGGCCCTCCCTGTCACTCACAAGTCATCAAGTCATGGTGCACACCCAGGGAGAGGTGTAAGGGCAAGCTCAGCAAACTGCTGGAGTGCTGCAGGAACCTGACTCTTGGGACCCTCCTCACAAACTGCTTCCAAGGGCGGACACACACACACACACACACAAAATCTACTGTGACTGTGCAAGAAATAGAGACAGAGGAACCAGAGAGAACAAAGAGCCTTTGCTCCCTGGCCTAGAGGCAAGAACTGCTTTGTTCCCCAAGTGCTGCTGCCAGGATGAGCTGCCACAGGGCTATCTGATCCTAAACTGTAAGTGCTGTGAGAGGAAGTAATCTTTCCTCTACATAAACTGACAGAGAAGAGGGAAGGGGAGGGGGGGAAGGGGAAGGGAAGAGAAGGGAAGGAGAGGAGGGGAAAGGAGGGGAGGGAAGAGAGGGGAAGGAAGCTAAGACAGAGGAAGAGAAGGGAAGGGAGGCGAGACTAGGGGAGGAGATGGGAGGTACACGGTGGCCCAAGCCAGTAATCCTAGCACTTAGGAAGAGGATCATGAGTTGGGGGCCAGCCTAGGCTATATAACAAGGGGCTACCTCAAAAGAGAAATATATTGTTTTAAAAATCAGAAATCAGAAAAAATGAAGAACAGAGAGGATTTAACCTCTAATATGACATGTGACCTGATTTTCATAGGTCACAGGTGCTCAGTTATGTGGGTGGTTGGAGGAGTTCCCTGAGACAGACCAGAACAGTCCAGCTTGGGGTACCAGGCTGCCCAGGCCCAAGAACAAAGCATGATGGACCCTGAACATCTCACCTTCCTCTGCTGCCTCTCGAAGATCAGCACAAGGGTGAGGGTCAGGCTGATAGCAGCCAGGGTCACAAGCAGCACGCCAGTCCACTGGCTGCCCAGGGCAAACATCTGGCTGGTGGAGTAGATATTGGCCCACACGACAACGTAGAATACCTGTAGAAGGTGGGGGAAGGCATGGAGCAGCTCCACTTACAGAGACCCCTGCTGACATCCCTAATACCCCTGCTTCCTGGGAGCCAAGAAGAACACATGCCAAGTCTGGACCCAGGGAGTGAGCTCCTGGCCCCTGCTTATCAGTGGACCTCAAAGACAGGTCAATCACTCCTAAACCCTCCTCACCCCAATTCCTCAGGAAACACCAAAGGGCAGGAGGATCTGCAGAGAAGTCTATATTTAAACCCCATGTTAATCCTTGCCTTGCTATGTGGTCTAGGCCAACACCTCTCTGAGCCTTAGTTTCCCTACCTGTAAACTGAGAATAATCATGCTTATATCACAGGACTATTTCAGAGTTAACAAGGTAACATGTCACAGCCCAGCACTTGTCAGGGAGTTGTTAAATGCTAGTCCCACTCTTCCCTTTCTCCCTAGAAATGAGAGGATGGGTCAGTTGGGCCATTTGACCATAAACTGAGAAGCAGAAAGTCAAAGTGGTTAAGAGCACAGGTTCAGGAGCTAGGCCACCTCTGTTCACACACTGCTTGGCCATGTATGCATACATTTCTGTCTGTGAATACACAGAGGCAGGTATACATTTACAAGGATAAACATGCATTGGTACATGCATGAGTATATATACACACCATAAATATATGAAATAAGCCTATCTATGAACAGAAGGAAAACTAAGTCCCAGACAGGAGAAAAGTCTTGGCCAAGGGCAGACATTGAGTTCAGACCTGGTGATATACAGATTCTCAGCCCTAAGCTGAGTGCTCCTTAAACCCCAACTCCCATCCCCTGTAGGGGATGCTCCTGTACCAAATCTACATCTGAATACTGGGCTTACCCAGACAGCTGGGCCCCCTGGCTTCTTATGCACCCCAGGATACAATGCTGCACTGAGGCCAAGGCAGGAGGCAGTGTGGGCCCACCATACTCCTTACCACAGCAAAGGCCAGTCGCATGGGCCTGGAGTTGTAGATGATGTACCTCCTCACTTGGGGTTCCAAGAGAGCGCTCTCAGCCAGGCTCCTGTACTGCTCAGCAGGGACCTATATCACCCAAGGGAAAGAAGTCATGAGTTAAGGGACAGTCATGCTGCCAACTAGCACGTCCTTTCCAGTTCACGGGACTGCCCCTTGGGAGGGAGGGGGATCAAGAACATTCTAGGCAACTCAGAGGAACAGAAAAAGGAGTTCAGAGTACAGGACGGAAATCCCAGGGTGCAGCTCTAGCTCCATGGAGGTGACAGCCCAAGAGCCAGAATGACATCCTGCAGAGGGGTCACACAGCCCAAGGCTCAGTACCTTATAGCAGGCACATGGCAGCCTCAGGCAAGACACAGGCCCCAGACCAAACTCTGGCCATGACATTCATGTGCTATGTGATGCATGGCAAGCAAATCACTTCTCTGAACCCCTAAAACAAAGGGTGCACACCTGGCAGAGCTGGGTACGTGTTCAGTGAGGTAGTGCGCAACAGTGTTTGGCACAAGGAGGGGCTGCAGAGCCAACACCAGGTACTCAGGAGCTACTGAATCATCACCTCTTCACACAGCCCCAAGCACTGAGGGTGCAGGTCCTCCTGTCCAAACCTGAGTGTCTGCATAGTATACCAGCCCAGTGCAAACAGGGCTGCAAACAGAACTGGCCATTAAGAATTACTTCAAGGGCTGGGATGGTGGTGCATGCCATTAATCCCAGTACACAGGAGGCAGAGGCAGGAAGATCTCTGTGAATTGGAGGGTAGGCTGGTCTATACAAAAAGTTCCAGGTCAGCCATGGCTACATTGTTGTCTCAAAACAAAACAAACAAAAGACTGTATCTAGGAACTGGTGAGATAGCTCATCAGGTCAAGATACTTAGCAGTCAAAAATGCAAGCAGTGCTAGGCGTGGTGGCACATGCCTTTAATCCCAGCTCTCGGGAGGCAGAGGCAGGCAGATCTCTGTGAGTTCAAGGCCAGCCTGGTCTACACAGTGAGTTCCAGGCCAGCTGAGGCTACAGGGAGACCCTGTCTCAAAAAGACAAAAAGACAAAAAAAAAAAAGTAAGCGAAGTTCATTCTCCTGAATCCACATAAAAATGGAAAGAGAGAACTGACTCTACAAAGTTGTCTCCTGACCTCCACATATGCACCATGGCACACACAGCACACACACACATATCCACAACAGTGATAATAATTTAATAATTATAATAATAATAATAATAATTTTAAGTTAAAAAAAAACAAGAATTACATCTAGGAACATGCTAGAACAACACACTCCACTAATTTCAAAACGACAGTTTAAGAAAGATGTTCTGGGGCTTGGAGAGGTGTCTCAGTGGGTGAATCTCCTATTGCACAAGCATAAGGACCTGAGTTCGGATCCCCGGAGCCCACATAAAGAAGCAGGTGCTTTGAGAGATCCCCGGCAGCCAGTCTATCTGAATCAGCAAGCTCCAAGTTCTGTAAGAGACCTTTATCTTCAAAAACAAGGTGGAAAACAATCCAAAAAGAAGCCTGACATCGACCTCTGGACTCCACAGACACATGCACACACATGAACACATATGCATGCATAGGGTATGCACATATGCACAAGGAAGGAAGGGGGTGAGGGAGGGGAAGGAGGGAGGGAGTTCTACACAAAGGTGGAATGGAAGTGGGGAAGATGAAGCCGGTTTGTTCAGAGCATGGGAAGTCTTCCTTCAACGGGAACATGTTGTTCTAAACAAATACACAATTCAGTCTTAAGCAAGCTCCAAAAGTTTCAGGGTGTGATGAGATGCCTGAGTCCCTACGTATGTCTAGTCCCTCCTGATTAGCCCAGGGAGGACCTGACCATGAGGGGCTGTGGGGAGAGAACCACACTATCTCCCTTCATCCCAACAGCAACCCTATGATTTACTGTTTACTGCATCCCAGGCAGTGCAGGTGGTCCTCAGTGCTATTCGTTTAATGTGGATGCCCACTGCAGCGTCCGTTCCCCCAAAACTGAAATCAGACCAGCGGACTCTTGGCTTGTGCCAGCTTAGGAGCACTTTCACTGTCCTCTTCAGCAGTCTTTATTAGACGCTCAGCATTTGACTTTCATACAGAGTTAACATATGATAGCGCTCAAGCATTGCAAAACACATAGGAATTTTCCCGTCATAATAGTAAGAAAACAGCACAGCATGCCCAAGGCTGCAGCAGACTGGCCCAGTAACAGACCTCCTCTGATGTATGCAAAGACTGGCAAGGGACAGATAACCTGTCCCCAGCAGTCCACAAACAGCTGTCTAATCCTTCTGCTCCCAGCATCCGGGGGTGGGGGGTGGGGGGGGGGAAACCTCTCCCTTCCTTAAGCCTCTGCATCAACAAAGCCCAAAGAAGTCTGTTAACTTAGTGAGCTAAGTGCCAGGAGCCTGTTAACTATTAGTGAACAGAGCACTACTGCCCTTAAGGGACAAGGGGGGTGGTTACGGTTTAATCCTAATGGAAGCTCTACAGAACAGGCATTAACATCTTCCTCACTGCAGATGACGAAAGGGAAGCACAGAGAATTTCGATTCTCCCAAAGACACACAGGCAGTGAGCAGTAAAATTTATCTATATCCAGACAAGGATCTATAAAGCCCAGGCCTGGATTTGCTGTGTTTGCAAGCATCATATCCAAGCCTGGGTTCCAATAAACCTTCCTTCACAACCATGGCATGGTTTCTTCCCCTACACCACCTGCCTCCTGCCCAGTGTACACCTATTTATCCTTCAACATGCCCTGTCAGGGTCTGCTGCTCCACAGAGATTTCCTAAGCCACCCACCTCAGGAAATGTATCACTTCCTCCTGTGTCATCTGCACCTGGCAGGGTCCTCTACTGCAGCATTCCTGCTGACCTGCTTTACCTGACACGTGTCCATCTCCCCTCTGGGCATGGAGAGCACTGGCACTGGAACCCTGTTCACCTCTGTACTGCTTAACCTGCTCGGTGGCTGGCGTGGAGTGGGCACCCCAACACATATGTACAGGATGAACTCGCTGGAAAGGCAGGACACCTCTGTTGCACTTTCCTAAGCACCCAACCACAGTAAGCACAAGTTAGCATTAAGGAAATGATTGTGAAGAGATGGATGGGTGGACAGGTGGCTGGATGGATGGAGAGAAGAGGTAAGGACCCACACAGCACTCACCTGAATGCCCCAGGCCTGCAGCTGCTCTTCCGCCACGCCAAGGTCAAAGGAGATGGGGGCACAGGTATTGTCAACCCGGAGGACTGTGAGGACCTGGCCATTGTGCAGCTCTGCAAAGAGACTAGAGCATCAGTGGGCCAAGTAGGAGCCCCTTTGGAGGAGCTCAGAACTGAAGGCATCACACCTCAGGATGTGAGTACCTTCTTATGACATGGAAGAACAGGATAGCCATTCTCAGTCCCTGAGGACTTGACTAGGAAGCCCCAAGGAGGCAGCACTAAGACCAGAGTGAGGAACTCCTGGAACACAGGATAACCACATAGTTAACATCTTACCAAGACAAAAAGGCACCTCACAAGGATTGAGCAGTAGTGAGGTCCCCATCACAAGGCATATTTAAACAGGATGAGCAACCAACTATATTAAAGGCCTGATGAGATAGACATTTATTTAGGCGCTACACAAGAGGTTTAGCTGAATAATTTAAATCCCAAGAAGGCTCCAAATCTCAGACACACACAGTTACGGTTGAACATCAGCCCCCAGATGGCCACATCGTCATCCGTTGGCCTGCAACCATGCTGTCTGTCAGAGCAAAGGGGAAAACGCACTGCAGATAGAATACAAGGCAGGTGTCAGCTGGCCTTAAACAGGGACAGCAGCCTGGATTGTCCAGGGGAGCCGATGAAATCACAAAGGTCCTTAAAAGGAGGCAGGGTAGAAAGAGAGGGATGTATGACTCGGGATGAAGCGTACAGAGAGATACACCATGGCTAGCTTTGACCACGGAAGGAGCCACAAGCTAAGCATTGTGGGTGACCTCAAGCACTGAGAAAGGGAAGGCTAGGGTCCTGGCTAGAACTACCAGAAAGGAACACAGCCCTGCATCCCCTCCATCATCAGCTCAGGGAGATCAGTGTCAGGTTTCTGATAGCAGAAACAAAGGTATACCATAGTGGCTTTCAATCCACTGCATTAAACACCGAACATCCTCTGCATCCCAGTAAATGGTGCTCTTTCCCAGGGGCTGTCCGTCACAATCTAAACACTAACCCTATCCATAACTGTCTGCTGCCTCATTTACACACACTGGGGACAGACAAATGCTCAATTGCTTCATTAAGATCGTCCTTCCAGCCAGACTACAGACTTTCATTCAGGTCTGTTCATCCCTAGGTTCTCGGAGCTGGCTCAGTGCCTGCCATATGTCTGATGTCTGAATGAATTGCTAGGACTCTGGTCTTCAACCTTGATAGGATGCTTTTATCATTCCTGAGGGCAGGGGGGAAGAGCACCTCCCATCTCACACATTCCATCATAGAATTCTAAATTCTACATCCTGTCCAAAAGAACTGTCTATTTTGCCCTCTCCCCTCTCTTTTTGGAGTATGGTACACGAAAAAAAACACAAGTTGGATCCATAAGGGTCAAAGATCCAACTCAGACTCTTGCTAACAAGACCTGTTTACTCATTTTTGGACAGTGATAGCCATGACAGGGGCTTCATGAACCACTGACATGCTAGCCTGGAGTGTTTGGCCTAAATAGGTCAAATTACTGGCCCCAGAGTGATCACAATTTAAAAGCAAGCTGGTGAGAACTCAAAAGTTCCCATAGGGGGCTGGAGAGATGGCTCAGCAGTTAATACTGGTTGTTCTTGCAGAAGACCCAGGTTCGAATCCCAGCACCCACATGGAAGCTAACAACTATCCATAACTCCAGTCCCAAGGATCCGACAGCCTCTTCTGACCTCGGTGGGCTCTGCACAACACGGATGCATTTACCTACATGCAGGCAATACACACATACACATAAAATAAAAATTAAAAAAAAATTTTTTAAGTTCCCATAAGGCAACACTGCTATGTCTTTTTATCCTCCCATACCTTGTTCCAAAAAGGGTCTCAAATCACTTCATAAAAACAACAGATAAAGCCAGGCTGAGTGTGGTGGCTTATATCTGTAATCTCAGTTCTGAGGAGGCTAAGGTAGGAGAATCTCTGCAAATTTCAGGCCAGCCTGGGACTATACAGTGAGACCTTATCTCAAAATAAATTAATTAAAAATTTAAATAAAAGAAAAGTGTAAGATTAAACTGAAGACAACTCAAATGCAGACAGCTAATAAGGCTCAGGTCCTGGGCCTGCAGCCCTCACTACATGCCTGGTCTTGCCATGGGTTTCAGTCACATTTAATTGAGCCTCCTGCCCCCAAGAGTCCTAACAGGTAGGTACTGTTCACATGGAAATGGAAGCTGAGCCTTTGAAAAGCAGGGAAGGTACTCTGATGACAGGGAAAATGGAACACAATTGAGAGAAGCCCAAAGGGGAAGTAGAGCCCCAAACGCTGCCTCTGCCTCCATAGGGTGAGATCTCCCACGGGTGCCATTCGCACAGCTCAAGATGAAGCCCCACAGAAGAATCTAGACCTTTCCTACAGCTGTGTCCTGAGCTCAGCAAGTGCTTGCCAGAGCATTGCAAAGACCTTTCACCAAGTCTCTGTTTGCCTTTCAAACAGGAGTTCCTGGATTCTTGGCAACACTATCTCTCATCTGTTCCTTAAAATGAGAACAGCAAGCCCTCCACTTAGAAACACTTGTCTTTACATCTAAGCTAAGAAAAGCTGCCAAAGTGTGTGTGTGTGTGTGTATGTGTTTGTGTGTGTGTATGTGCGTGTGCATGTGTGTGTGTGTATACGTATGTACAGACATACATACAAAGCAGCAGTAACTGGCTTGCTTGGGACTGGAACTGCTCCTGCAGAGGACCCAAGTTGGGTTCCGATCACCCATGTTGGGCAGCTCACAACTGCTTGTAACTCCAGCTCCAGGGGATCCAACGCCCTCTCCTGGCTTCTGTGGGCACTGCACTCACTTGTACAGACAAAAAGACACACACACATACATATATATATATACATATATACATACACACACACACACACACATATATATATATATATATTTTTTTTTTTTTTTGTCTTTTTGAAGCAGGGTCTCTGTGTAGCCCCAGCTGTCCTGGAACTCACTATATAGACCAGGCTGGCCTTGAACTCACAGAGATCCACCTGCCTCTGCCTCCCGAGTGCTGGGACTACAGGCGTACGCCACCACGCCCAGCTACACACATATATTTTTTAAATAAAATAAGTCTTAGGGCTGGAAAGATGGCTCAGCAGTTAAGAGCACTGACTGCTCTTGCAGAGGACCCAGGTTTGATTCCCAGCACCTACATGGCAGGTAACAACCATCCATAACTCCAGTTCCAGAGGATCCAATGCCCTTTTCTGACCTCTGTAGGCACTGCACAACATGGGTACACTTACATGCGTGCAGGCAATACACTCATATATATATATATATAAAAAAAAACTTATTTTCCAAAAATCAGCAAAATAATATCCTTCAAGTCCTGCAGGAAAATTACTTCAGTCCTTTCCTTTCTATTGAGCTACTGCTTCATGTACAGGGATTTAAATTGCTTTTTTTTTTTTTCATAACATAGTCATTAAAACCCTTTTTTTGTGTCTGTGACAGAGTCTCCCTGTAGCCCCAGCTGCCCTGGAACTCAGGCTGGCCTTGAACTCACAGAGATCCACATGCCTCTGCCTCCCGAGTACTGGGATTAAACGCATGCACCACCACGGCCAGCCAAAACCCTTTTTTCAAGCAGTAAGTTTTGGACCCTCTATGTAAGCATTGCATTCCTAAGGAGCCCCACAATTCACTGTGCTGTTTCCCCTTGCTAAACCCAGCTACCATCCATCCCTTTATTCAACATAACATTGAATCAGTGTCTGTTGTGGGCCAGACCACCTGCCAGTTCTTCAAACACAGGGATGGGTGAAACAGTGCAGAGCCCTGCCCTCTCTGTGCTCCCACTCTAGAGGGAAGGCTTGATGCTCAGCATTTATTACTCAACTAATCAGTGTCTTAAATAAATGCTGCAGAGAAAATCAGGAATATGGTAGAGCATCCCAACTCAGACTGTGTCATCAGAAGTTTCATCGTGAAGGGATATTTGAACTGAGTTCTGAAGGATGAATAGAAATTAAGCAGAGAAAAAGCATTATGAGTAGAAAGAACAAAGGCCTTGGGCTGGAACAGCAAAACAAAGAACAGACAAGGGCAGCAGGAACCACCAAGGCCAGCTGGTGAGTGATGGATCCGCATGCCAAGTCCAGCAAGAGACCCTGAGGCAGAAGTGATTGCAGGGGATGCATTTAAAAAAGTCTCTCTCCTGCCATGTAACGAAAAGAACAAGGAAAGAAGAGAGGAGACTAAGTAGAAAGCCAGGAAGTTGAGCAGAAGGTGATGACAGGAGGCAGGGATGGCAAGAACAAGGGAGAAATGCCAGAAAGTGGCCTGGAACTGTATTCCAAAGCTGCTCACCCTTTCACTCGCTCTGTGCTCCTCCTGCCCCAGTCCTAATGTGTCAGTTCAGTACAGTATGAGGCACAGGGAGATGGGGAGGATTTGAGCTCTCAGTCTTACCTTGCCCCCAGCCAGATGGGCTCCCCTGAGGCAGTGTGCTCCAGCCAGGGGCGGAGGTGGGCAGCGGGCCCACTGCCCCACCAGGGTCCATCTGTGGTTCACAGGCCATGGTAGAGGGCCAGCTGTCCCAGCTTCTACTTCCCGTTTCTGAAGCTGTGGTTCATGCTGGAGGCACTATGCACCTTGCCTTGCCTGTGAAAAATAGTGCAAGAAAGAATTTCAGGCCTGGGTTTCCTCGGTCTTCCTGGGGCCCAAGTCCTCAAAAGCCAGAGAGAGCCACCAAGAATCTTCATGCTGACTTCTGTCTTTGATCACGCTGAAGAAATTTCTGGAAGGAAGAAGGAACTAAAAACCTTCCCAGGCCTCAGTTGAGAATTCCCCTTCCGGCTTTGGGTTGTCTCCAACTCACTCACACCAGGCCCCACTCATCCATCTTTCTAACGAGGTCCCAGGTAACCAGGCATGAGACAGGTATTGCGTTCATTAAGGGGAGCTTCCTACAAGGCACTGCAAGAGACAGAGAATGAAATCAGGGAACAGGAAATAAAGATTACACACACCAGAAAAAAAAAAAAAAAAAACTGAAGCCATGAAGAACGGAACTAGCCAGTCATATTGCACTCCAGTTCCCTTGAAAGGGAGAGGCTGATGTTCAGTGCCTTCCCGATCACCCCAAGTTGCGTAAACGTGGACAAGAGGCTTAACCTCACCACTTCTAATCAGTTTCTCTAAATCTAGTGGCTGTTCCCATGGGGCTGCTGCCAGGAATCAATGGGAGAATAGACAGGAAGCACGCACCCCAGCACAGGGGTCAAAGGCCACACTCCATGAATATTAGCTCTTTTAAAAAGCCACTCTACACCCAACTTTTTGGGATCCCAGCACTGGGGACACAGAGACAGTAGGATCAAAAAGTTCAAGGCTAGCCTGGACTACACAATGAGTTTCAGGCCAGCCTAGGTTCCAAGCAAAATCCTCCCCTCCCTTAAGAAAAAAAAAAAGTAAAGAGTTGTTCTTGTTGCTGTTTTGACAATTGTTGTGCCTGAGACAATTTGGTCTTTTGAGCTTCTATGTGGCAAAACAAACTGCTGTTAACAGTGTCAGCTGAACACTTATCTAAGAAGAGAAGAGATAGTGAGGGAAGTAAACACACTGGCTTGGCAGTTAGCGCTAAAGGATCATGGAGACCCTGTTAGAGCCTTGAGCACTTGGTCCCCGATGTTCAACAGGCTTCACCCTTAGCCACTTCCATCAGCAAAGGCAGAGACGCTCTTCATGGGGACTTCCTTGGTGACTCTCTGAGCCACCTGCTCTGCTGCCACCTGAACACTTCACCTCTGATATGTGTCCACCTGGGAACCCAAGAATAACCCCTTACCAAGAAAAATCATGTTCTGCCCAAGTACCTAAAGATGGTACAGTCCTCTAAACCCTTCTTTTGCTACCATGGAAAGAGATGTTGGGGAAGATATGACGCATCCAGCTAATACACATCTTCTTGATCCAAAACTGGCCCCAGGAACCACATAACTGATCAGGGTCACTATAGAAAGAAACTTTAATAAGACCTGCTGCATAAGCAATGGGATGCCCTCCACAATGGAAATGTGGGGACTCATGTTCAAAAGGAATGACTCTGCTCCAGGGAGAAGACTCAACAGGTAAAAACACTTGCTACACAAGCCTAATGACCTGAGTTCAAGTCCCACAACCCACATTAAAAAGCCAGATGTCAACACAAATCTGTAATCCCAGTACTTCAATGGTAGAGACAGCAGAACAGGGCCAGGAAACAACAAGAGAGATCCTGCCTGCTTCAAAAAGGTGAAAAGCAAGACCACACTTCCAAAAGCATCCCCCCAACACACACACACACACACACATACACGCATGCACGCGCGCACACACACACACACATACCCGCATGCACGCGCGCGCACACACACACACACAGTGAAGAATTTAAGATAGTGGCAGCACCAAATTGTGGGAGAAAAGGACTCTCTTAAGTGGGGAGGTATCCATGCAAGAGACATGTACCTAACGCTGACCCAACTTTAGATCTAGATGCTCTAGAAGCTTTGAGAAGGTACCTTGGGAGAAAGGTACAAAGAATAGATAAAAGATGAACTGTTAACAATTATCACACTCCTGTCCTGCACCAGGGTCTAAGGTCAGAAAGGAGTAAAATGTTATGAAATGACTAAAGGCTTTGAAGCCAGAAGCTTGGGCCTGAATCCCTGCATAGCAATCCACAAGCTCTTAGACATTCACCATCAAGGCCCCCAGCCTGAACCTTGTTCACATCTGTAAAATATCTCCCCACTCCCCCACCCCCAACCCTGGCCCCAGGACCTGGTCTGGCTTCCTCTGAGCTTGCTCATGAAGCCACCTTTGAAAAGATCAGAGAGACCATGTTTCACAGGCATGATCTAGAAACAAATTCCATTTGGCCTGCAATGGCTCCTCATGGGAAGCAAGCGCCTCCTTGCCCATCAGCGCCTGGCTCACAGGAGCATTCTCAAACACACTAAGCACTTACCAGTCCACCTTACCCACCCCCCCTCCCTCCTTCCCACCTTCCTTCTTACCTTGTACCCCCAAGAGGCACAAAAGTCACAAAAATAGCCATGGATGTACCCTGCACTGACAAGTCCCCAAGTGCTCTGCTTCCCCTCTCTGATCAACTGCTAGGTCACAAGGCAGACACAACCCTGCAACACATACTCCAGGCAGAGATGAGCCACAGCTAGGACCCTGCAGCCAGAGACACCATACTGCAGTGAAGAAGAGGCCTGGAAGAGCACACACAGGCCTGAGTTGCTGAGGTCTGAGTCTGTACGCAAGGTTCCACTAGTTGCAACATCCCACAATGAAGCATTGCCTTGGGGCAGAAATCACAGCACCCACATCAGCCCCCTCAGCTGCCCACAGTAACTCAAATAGCAGACCATTCACCTGAGGCTGCTTGCAAGACAGCTAAAAGCAACCTGCCCGGTCCTACTGCTTCCCAGCCGGGTGACTGAACAAGTTACTGGACTTCTCTCTGCCTCTACTTCCTGGAGGAGAAGCAGGTAATAAGGTGGTAACTGCAGGGGAGGAGGGGGGATGGTAACTGGGGGTTGTCCTGAGGTTGCCCCTTCACACAAACTGCACTGGGAAAAGGGTGATCACTGAAGGAAGGCAGCGGTCATCGGTCTGCTCCACATTCCCTGAAAACCATCTAGGGCTAGACGTTGACTGTAAAATCAGAAATGAAACGTAGTTTCTGCTCAGCCCTCCCCGCTGATCACGATCCAGTGGGAAAGACGCGCTCAGAGAGAACTGCCAAACAGACGAGGAAGTAAAGGAAGTACTTAGGGTGGGGGTAAGCTCCCCAGACAGCCTAGAGAAGGCTCCTAGGCTTAGCCAAGGTGGAGGTAAGAAGGGCCCATGCCAATGAGTTCAGATTATAGGTCAGGATGGCTTCTCCTGACCCCAAGGCAGGACCCCAAGGCTGACCAGTTACCATGCCCTGCGCCCTGCTTCAGTCTTGAGGAAACATGTGGGCAGGGTTTGGGTAGCAAGGCGGGGTGGGGGGGGAGGCAAATTCGGAGGCTCGGGAGACTGACTAGTCCTCGCTGCCGGGCTCCCTTTGGGAGTTCACGCGTTAACCAGATCTTCCAGTCGCAGGTAGTGCCCAGACACCAGCCCCCCTTGACGTCCCCATCCCCGACGGTGTCTGTCCCATGCCCTGTGGGAAACAGAAAACGGCTTTCCTCGGTCAGGTTCAGCTTTGCTAGCTACACTGCAAGTTCTACAGGAGCTCGGAGCCCGGCCAGTCCCAAAAGTCTGGGGTGTAAAGGTCTGGCCAGACAAGCGTCCGAACTCCCATTTCACAGTGGTGAACCTTAAGCCCCGCAGGAGAAAGTGAACCATCCGAGGTCAGAGAGAACTAGAGGGAGCCAGAACCGAAAGCCGCTCCCCGCGGCAGGGCGCCTCCCACCGTACCTGGCCTTGGCCTCGGGCAGCTGGCTTCCGGTCTCTGCCCTCTGCTCTTGGGGCTCCTTCACCCCCGAAATTACCCACCCTTCCCCGCAGCTGCCACACCCAACTCGCAGGGGCAAAAGGACCACCAGCGCCCGGAGCGGGGGGACGAGACGCCCACAGGCCTGGCCGAGGCCCCACGGCCCCAACCCCTGAGCGCGGGCGCAGGGCACGCGCACACTCACCGCCGCCCGGGGACGCGCGGGGCCGGGGACGCGCGGGGCCGGGGACGCGCGGGGCCGGAACCTCCGCGCCGGGCCTCCAGGCACCGCCTCCCACGCGCGCTCCCGCTTCCCGCGCGTGTCTCTTCTCCGCGCCGAGCCGGCCTTCGACGAGCGTCTCTCCCAGCAGCGCCGAGACGCAGCGGCCGTGTTTCATCAGCCGCTCCCCGGGGATGCCTGAAGGGGCTCTGCGCCTGCCACGTGCGTGGGATCTGGGGCCTGCGGGGCGCCCGCGCGCCGGCCCGTCCCCACGGTGAACGGGAGGTCGGTCCCAGGTGACAAAGAGTCACGGGATCGGTGCATGAGGCAACACTCGGGACCAGAAGTTTCTTCGGAGCTTGTTTTTAATGAAAAATAGCGTGCTGTGCTAAGAGAATTGGAGTGGGGAGCAGACTACCTGACCTCGCATCCAGGTCTCTACGTACTCCAATTGTTTAAACTTGTCTTCGTTTTCTTTAAAAAGCATTAGTTATAACCATGCCATAGGACTGTGTGAAGATTTAACGAAATGATCCGTGAGATGTTCAAAACTACGTACCTGCTAAGGGAGCACTGAAGGTTTAAGGGGCTCTAATGAAGTGTCCCTTTTGCCTCTCTGAGACAGGTACTGCACTCTATAGCTCAGGCTTGCCTGGAGCTTGCAGTGTGGCCCAGGTCGACTTTGAACTGGCAGTCTTCTTCCTCACTTTCCCGATTGCTGGTATTACAGGAGTGCACCAACAAACCTGGCCCGTGTTTATAGGAGGGAGCACCCTGTTGGCCACCCTGCTTTGTCCTTCAGCCAAGTCCCTGGGCACTTAGCTCCCACAGAATGCACCACACTGCCTCATTTCAGGGAATCCTAAACTTCTGTATATTGTAAAAAGGGCCTTTCTGGTCCTAGGCCCTCCCCCTCCCTCCTCGATGGGTGCATATATGGTTCCCACTCTTGCTAACAAGAGGTGCTAGGAAGTTTGTTCCTGGTCACGCTGTTTGCATACAGGCCACAGACCACATCTCTCTAAGGTGGCTTGCACACACACATTTTTTTCAACACTGTCAACTTCTTGGGGACTTTCTGACAACCACAGGACTTATATGGATGCATACTCAGCCAACCCAGAGGCAGGTGTTTGGGGGCAGCAAGCAGGACTTGAAAGCACAAGCAGCAGATCCACCCAGATGCCCTCATTCACCCAAAAGTGAGAATCAAGGCAGCAGGCTACAATCAATTTGTGACAAATGGGCACGGAATACTGGCAATGCCAGTCTTACACTGGG